CTCTCTCTCTCTCTCTCTCTCTCTCTCTCTCTCTCTCTCTCTCTCTCTCTCCCTCACTCACTCTCTCTCTATGTGTTTCATTCGATCTCTCTTTCTTTTTGTCTCTCTCTCTCCTCTCTCAAAGAGCACACACAGACACACACAAACACACACACTCTCACACAAGCACACACTCACACACACACACACACACACACACACACACACACACACACACACACACATCTACCAGACACCACTCACGTTCTTTCCAGAAGCCAAACAAGAAGCCAGGCCCAGGAGGAGGCGGGGGAGCTTCCGGAACTTCCGGCTCAGGCCTGATGAAAAAAACCAAAACAAAACAAAACAAACATTGTTAACAGTACAGTCAAAACCTGCTCTAACGACCACCTGTCTAAGACAACCACCTGTACAAGCGACCACTTCCAACTTCTCTCCTTGGGATCTTTCTGGGTAACGACACTCTCCAAAACGACCACCTGTCTAAGACAACCCCTTTTCTCCTCTTTTTTTTGTAAGAGTTTTATGGCACTTGAAAAAAAATAAAGTCATATTATGAGTGCCGAAAATTAGAGGTGTTACAAGAAAGTAACAAATGCAAAAAAGAAGGTAGATAGATATTTGATAGGAAAGAAGAAGCAAACCACACCAGAACACCCGCCAACCACCCACCTTTTTTCCTAAAAAAATCTGTGGCCGTCTTGGACAATTTCAACAATTTATTGACAGTTACAAAAATAACAGTGTCTACGATACCTCTTGCTAAATTAAAGAAGAGCTTATAGGAGACAACACGAGACAGCATTGAATGAAATGACTCAATAGCTTGAAATCAAGAGTTATGATCTGAACTGGGTTGAATAATTATTAATATTATGCTTGAGTCCATCTTTATTGTTTTTTGTTTTTGTTTCATGTATGTGGGTTTTTTTTCTAATTTTTGCTTGAAAGGACCTCAAAATCATTTAAATCCTTCATTTTTCTGACTTCTATAATTATGTTTGAAATAATTTTATATTTTGATTACTAAAGAGACGGACTAGTTAGCAGAAGAAGAGATAAGTACTGATCAGCGTATAAAGAAATAAAATATTATTATATATTTTCCGGCCTCATCAAGAGAATGTCGATCATTTAGGAGAAGGAAGGGAGCCCTCTCATAACAGAACCATTGTTACTATTATTAGAAGTGTAATGCTTTTCTCGCCAATCAATAAATACAGTTTAGATAGTCTAAAAGGCTTTGCTTTGTCTTGTCTCACCATACAAAGAAGAAATTGTAAGGAAAATTGTTATCGCCTCTCTCTCTTCTACCACCCCCACAAACACCCCACACACACACACCCACACACACACCCACACACACACACAAAAGGATGAATACATACTTGGCGGGTGGCGGTGGCCGACGGGCTGGTGTGATCTTCTCGATGGGTCTTCTCTTTACCGGGTTCATGGGCCTGTGACAGGAGGTAACACAAAGTATGAGGCATCATGGTGAAATAAGACGCTCATTAAAATAATGAAATCGAAGAAGTAAGCATTTTTCTGTCTGTCTCGCAATGTGTATTTAATTGCTACTTTTTTGGCTGAACGCCTTTAATCTCTATTAACACAGTTCTGTGTGGATGTAACAGAATAAAGTCCATTAGAGACACAACTAATGTAAGACAATAGTTTCCAAGGACTCACAACCTTTAAAAGCCACACACTTTGGCTGCCATTTCTCTCTAAATTGGCCTCGGAAACCAAGTGGCCACCATCTCGTTCAATCGTAAATATCTGGACTTCTATTCAAGACAGAGGTGTATTTTTTTCATTTAAAGCTAGAAGCTAGACAAATAAACACGTTTTTAAATTAAACCAATAATTCCACATGCTCGCAAACTGACGAGCGCCTGATTCCACCACGTCGTGACATAAACGCCTTTTTTGACTGCCCTTGACAACAGTGTCGAAAGTAGATCTGTCCTTGCACTTTCAAACCTCAGTGCAGCGTTTGTTATGAATGCCCAATCGATCCTTCTGGAAAGTTCACGTAAAACTTTTAGCTTTTCTAGGACGTGTTTGCGTGGTTTACATCATATTTGAGTGATCCCACTCAATCAATTTGTGTCAGTGGCACAGAAGGCTTCAAAATTCCATTGTTTTGTGGGGTGCCCCAAGGTTGTGTCCTGGGTCCATAATTGAATATTATGTACTCACAGCTTTAGTAAATATTGTAAGAGCCCAAGGCAGAAACTTTCATGAATGCATCAAAACAATTGAGAAACACAATTGAAGGGTCAAGTGAAAATCAGGATAAGTCCATCTCTACAACAAATCATGGCAGTAGCCCTGTTTTTCATAAAACCCTTTAATCATGGCATTGTTTCAGAATGTTATCGGGTCTGCTGAGGCAATATAATGTGAATAGATTCTAAAGCGCATAGCAGAGTTTTCGAGTAAGCGAGGAATTATGCTAAGCAAAATTTATGATATTCTTTTATTTATTTGTTTGTTGTATTTATTTCATTTCAATAATTAATTCATTCGTTAATTCATTAATTCAATTATTTATTAATTCAATAGTTCACAAATTCACAAATTCATTAATTCACGAACTCATAATTATTTAATTAATTCCTCAAATCAATACATCATTAGTTCATAAATTCATTATTAATTAATTAATGTCTTTAACTGATTGATGCATCACCTGAGCTTGGTCCTGGTCTTGCAGCACCGTTTCTGACAGTTGATCTTGCTACAGGTGGACACACACATGGGCCAGTAGCGGTACAGCATGAAGGTGAGCAGTCCTAGCATGAGCGTGCCTAGTAGGGCGGCGATGATGATCCAGGCCAGGTTGTCAGCCTGTTCATATATCAGGGCACAAGGCGGGTGGGAG